CCACTGATCTCTCTATCTCTGTAGTCCCCAAAAATGACAAACCCCCATGCCCAGAAAGCAGCCGTCATGCCATTTTTTTTCACTCTTATGGTCATAAAGTTGTTCTTTTGTCCTTATTTGGCGTAGATTTGGTGAACCTTGGGTTGCTCTTCAATGGATACCTATAATGAAAAAAGAGACTAATGAAGGTTGCGATAGAGGAGGATGAATTTTCTATGGGTTATATAGATTAATGTAGACTGCACTCTTCATTTTTTTTTGTTGACAATTGTACGATTTTTTTAACAAAAGCAGTAAATACTTTTTATAAATTGGATAGGAAATAATATTTTGTTATAATTGAGTACAAATTAAAAATGGAAACAAGCACAGTTATCTGCAACCTTAGTCGCAAGTTGTAAAAATTTTAAATTGAACCAAACAAACACAAATACAGCCAAATGCAACAACAATTACGCACTTGCATCGTAAATACATTATGATCAACCAAATGCATCCTAAGGTACCGTCAATTCTCATCCATCTACCCTCCCATTCTGTGCCCCTTCTAATGCTTAGATACAGGTCAAAGAAAAATAATCGATTGTTTCCCAAGCAAACAATTATCATGATAATGAGCTTTTCATATGATAGAATAACACATACCTGAAGATCCAAGCAGTTAAGATGGAAAGTAGAAGGACAACCATCACAGCAGATCAAGTCACCACCATCTCCACAGATACCGCAAGTATCATCATTTGGGTCATCACCTTCAATGTCTACTTTGTGAAAACCCAGCCGCTCAGATTCTTGCTGCTTCTCCCATGCATTCAGTAGGCACTGCGAAAGGGAAATTCCTGACCTGTCCATAAGAATATTTTCATATGGCTGATGCAGTCTGCTACCAGCATGAATCTCAAATTTGAAGATAGGGATAATTTTACTACAGCAGCCACAACGAATACCATCTCTTGTTATAACTCCCTCCAGTAAAGCTCGTGTTTTTTTCTTGTTCATGTACTTCACCTTTTCATCTACATGCACGATGCCCAAATCTACCATCCATGATAGAATGGTCCTTTTCCAAATGTATGGAAAATAACCATCATTGTCATTGATATCCGTGCCCTGACTAGATCCACGAACCAACAGCGCACACCCTCTCTTCTTGTTTCTAACACTTGGGTGAAGTTTATTTGTACCTCCCGCGCCTTTGGAGCTTGTTCTTCTGACATTTCCCTCACCTTTTTTCCTTACTCCTAACTTCTTGGCCTTTTCAATTTCTTTCTTCCTTCTTCTCTTGTTTACCATATTCTTAGTCAGCATTTGCAAAAGTTCTGCCGGGACAGTTGCAAATGTTGGATTCTTTCCCTCATGGCCTTGATTACCTCGAGAAGAGTTCTCATTAAAGCTCTTCACATAAACATTGTAAGCTTTTGTGATTGACCAAAGCCCTCCTCCTCCAGTTGGGGGCATATACACATTGTCATTGTAGTTTCTACCTCTTCTGGGTTTCAGTTCAATCGTCCAACCAGCATCTAAAAGGATACCCTTTATCTGATCCCGGATTCTTTGTTTCACAGTGCTTTGACCTTCACTAGCTTTACCTTTTGTGTACAGCTGGATCTTAGCAGAAGCTTCTGATTTTGCCTTTCCGGGTTTTGCAATCTCACCCGAAGAAACTTTTCTCGGGTTCAACTGATCTTTTTTAACTGACTTAGCGGTGGAAATTGGTTTCTTGGTTTTTCTTTCTTCTTTTTCTTCCCTCTGTATTTGGCCTTCTTCGATCCCACCAACCTTCTTGTTACTTGGCAAAACCCTTAAAACACCACCACTCTGCTGGGAAACATCAACATCATCTTTTCTGGTGCTGTCCAAAAAACTGTTGTTAGCTTTCAGTTTCCTTAGTGTCCTCGCAGTCGATCGCTCAATCCACTTACAATTCTCAGTTTCTGCCCCAGTTTTCCTTTCCGAGTCCTCCTGCATTCTTTCCTCATTGGGCTTGGAGCGCTTGTCTCCAGACCTGAGAAATTTCCTTTTAATATTTCCCTCACAACTTTCCATGCCCTCTTCTTGCTTGTGTTTCAAATGCCCCAATCGAAATTTCTTCAAACTGGTCTTATCATCAACTGCTTCTCTACTTCTCTTTCTTTCTGGACCTGATTTCTTTACAGAGTCAGCTCCATCCCTTTCCTTTGTTACTTTCAGCTTCGAAATCTTCTTCGGGTTTAGCTTTGTCTCCCGCTCACTACTCAACTGATCGTTCTTAGCCTTTTTCCTGCGGGAAGAATTATCCCTTTTGCGATCAGCCGCAGAAAGAGCTAACAACCCCTTACTGCTGTCAGCTTCTTCTCTTTCCTTTACATACTTTGACCTCAATACCCTCTTTTCCATCACTTTTATCTCTTCCTTTCTACTAGACTGTTTCATCCTAGTCTTTTCTTCTGCTTTCAATTTTTGAGTTTGAAAGCTTCTGAATCAACATTCATCTCCTCCCTCGCAATTTAAGCAGCGTTTACTGATCTTCTTGTTAAAAATAGAACCTTTTTCATTCTGAGAGGCTCCAGAAACGCATATCGCCCAATGTTGCTTCTTTTCTTGACAATAGAAGCATCCAAAACCCTAGATCGATGCAAGCGCGAACTTGATCAGCTTTCCATCGACATTTGTGCTCAAAACACGTAGAGCGTGCTGAAAATCTTCGTTCTCGATCAGAGACTGTAGCAAGCAAGGGAAGTTAGATCCATCGATTTTGGAACGAACGAAATGTAGAAGGAGGTCGAAGAGATTCTTACCATGGATGCTAGGGTTTGATGATCTCTGAGAGAAGAAGAAGAAGGTGAGAGATCATGATAAATTAAGAGAGAAGAACCCTTTCTTCTTTGCTGCTCACAGAGAAAAGCCCTAGGATTGAAAAACATAAAAGAAAAAAAAAGTATATATTTTATTTTATAGAACGTAGCTGACGATACAGCTTCAATAATTAACTTGGACCTGGGCCTTGGGCCAATACCCGTTTCTACGCGCTACGATTTGCATGAGGGCAATTACATTTACATACGACGATTTTTTATATGTTTTCTATATTTAAAATACTTAATTTTTTGCTAAATATCCACACAAAAAATATAGGGAAAATTGCTTCTAGGCCCTAAAACACAAATTTCAATGTGCCCCAGCCCTCCATATTTTTTTAATGTGCTGCAACCCCTTGTTTTTAAAAAAATAATGTCCAGGACCCTCCATCATGATTACAGCTCATGCCGGTGGATGATTTGACATGTCAGCTCATGATTAGACATGTCAACTGACTTAAATCCCAAATTTATCCTCATCTTTCTCATGTCAGCGGATGTTAACTCTTACGGTTAACATGTTAATCGTAAGAGTTAACATGTTAACATGATAACCATGATCGCCACCGGCCACGCGTT